TGGACTAGCCCAGAAAAAAATCATTGCAGAGAAAAGAATCGACTAGTCGATTAATTGATGCAACCCCTATTTCAGATTGTGGCAGGAAGCCGGAGTGCCCGGAGAGAAACCTGCAAACAGGAAACCTGTCAAAACTTTTTACCTTTTGCCCCATAAATTTAAATCAGACACATGTTTGGTCCCAGTCAGATTTCTCCAGCCTCAAAATGGTTACTAGGTCTTCTAGGATTCTTTTCTTCTTCCGATGTTAATGTTATTTTTAGCTCCTCTCCAAAGGGCCCTTTGCCATCTTCCAGAGGAGGGGGCTGGAGAAATTAACCTCTGGTGTTTCATCAGTTCTTTTCATAAATGTAAATGAAACCGTTGTTGGACATGTCTTCACTGCAGTCGCTGTCTGCAGTGAAGACATGCTCGTTTTCTGCCTTGACGGTTTGTTCTTCCTTATTTAAATAGCAGTAGAACTCTGTCAGCTTTGGATACCCACAGATGACGGAGGACAGGTGGTACGTCTCCGTCCCACATTCTGCAGGCACCTCTATGGTCTGAGTGGCTTTTGTTTGGTACTTCCTGGTAAACCTGTGCAGAAAAAACACCAGGACCTTATTATCGGCCAGGCAATGTTTTTTCTGCCAGGGTGACCCGCAGCCTGAACAACGGCGTTTGCATGCCCAATCCAACCAGTATTCAAGCAGTATAGATATACTGGTTGAAAATAATACTGGTGGAAGGGCAATCAGGGCGCCGTTGTTCAGGAGCCTGAGGGAAGTGGCTCCACAGTTAGAGCAGGAGTCGTTGTCATACAACTGTCTATCTGTGTCGCCGCCAAACGAGTCCAACCAGACCAGAACAGACTCCAGCAAACTTTTTATGTCGTAGTCCTTTCCCAGACCTGACGGTAGCTTCTTCTCCGTCAGCTCCATCAGAACTGGGGAAAGGTCTTGTTGACAAAAATGTTTGCCGGGCTGACGGACAGCTGAGTGTATGAGCCTCCCACAGCAGGGGATGGACGATGCCTCCAGAAAAATCCTTTCCTGAGCGAGACACCGCTTGGTGACGCTCAGGTTCAGGATGCTCTGGAAAGCAGCGTTCACCCAACTGTTCTGGAGCTCATCGGAGAACTTGAAAAAGTTCTCCTCAGCTTGTCCGGGTCCTGCAGATGCTGTCCTCCCTACAACTGGGAGATCCGAGCCAACGCTATCTACTGAAATAGGGGAACTGGAAACCTCGACTCCAACAGCAATCTTCAAATTTAGACGTGTTTTTCTTGGCAATGGAGCAGCTCTGTTGTTCCCATCCGGGGAACTTTGTATTTCAAGGGTCCCTGTGAACGTCCCCTTCAGAGGACTGTTCTTTAAGGTTGGGACCAGGGAAACCAAAGCTGTGGCTGTTCCTTCAGCCACAGCTTTGGCTGCGAGATCAGCCGCAGACAAATCTTCCCCAGCCGGGTCAGATTTTTCTGCGACTGTTGTCTCACCCCCATGGTGTACCATCGTCTCTGGACAAACCTCCCCAGCCGGGTCGGTTTGTCCAGAGACAGTACAGTCGTCCTCTGTACTGTCTCGTACAGAGGACGAGATGGAGTCCGCGGTCCCATCGTCCAAAGCCTTTTCAAGACAAACCTCCCCAGCCGGGTCGGTTTGTTTTTTGGAAGTGGATGGAAATCCTGTCCAAAATAGATCATCCTCTTCAGTCTGATTGTTTTCTTCTTTGCCATCCTTCCCAGGAAAGAAATGATCGCATACTTTCTTCATCCCGGTGGTCACGGCATATCCAATGCCCCAACCAACCGGGAATATCAGGGGAACAATCGCCGTCGCAAAACCGAACATTGTTGCTGTATACAAATCTGAAACTCCAAGAAATGTCTGGATCCTGACTGATGCTTAGAGATTCCAGAATTCAAGCATTAGAACTTCTTTGATCTACTGTGATGTACGTCTATGACCTCATCAGTGAGCTCACTGGACTTCTGGAGCAACGTCTTGCTTCTGATCGTTGCTATGGAAATGATCAGCTCAGCTCTGCATGACTCAAGCTGACATAAATATTTAAATAAAACGTTATACTTTTTATTTATTTAACATGGAGAGATTAATAGATTTGTATATGATTTAATTTTTGCTTTTGTGGTTTTCCATACCTGCTGTGGTATAAATGTTCTGAAGCCTTTTATCCACTATTATATTTAATTACTATTAATTCATTAGGATTACTCATGTATTAATCATTGCACAGTGCTAGGAACAGTCTGTGACCTATTATATTTATTTTTTATTAATTTTCATTAATTTTTATATAGTACCCCCAATAATTTAAAACTACTTTCACCCCTGGATAAACTTATCCATAAATATAGGTTTATGGATCAAATTATGCAGGATATATGTGGAGTGAAGAGTTTTAATAAATTAATTACACATTTAAGTAATTATTTCATAAGTTACTTTTTGTCATTTGGCATTCTTCACTCTTCATAAGAGTCAGGACTGGAGTTTGGAACATTTTCATTTTTCTAAAAATGTTTCAGTTTTGGTTCCCAATCAAACTGGATCTACCGGACCATCAGGTGTGAGAAAAAACCTCCACATTCTCCTGAGCCAAGGTTTCCAAACTTTTCCTCAATTACCTCTCAGCGGAAACACAAACATCTTTACACTGAGGGACAAAGAGAGAATGTCATGAATGCATCGGTGAAGGAATCGCAGGATTTTGGATTTTCTGCAGGTATAAGCATTAAAGTAAAACTCAAGGAGTCCATGAAGAACTCCAGGTGCCATTCCTGCTGTGTGTTTCCTCCTGGAGAGACTCTTGGTGCCTGTTGAAACATGCAGTCTGAAGGTCTGTTCTTTCACTTTTTTCAGGGAGACATAAAGTTGGGCAAATCAGCTCAATATCTGGAGTTCAGATCAGCCAAAGCAAAAGTATGAAAAATATATAAACTTTGTTTTCTTAGTTTTACTCTCAAATTGATGTTGCTGTTTTTGCCACAGTAGAAAATCCACATTCATCGCAATATTCAACATAGAATATCAAATATAAACAAATAATGTCAGTCTTATTCGATCGATCAAATTTTATTTGTATAGCACATTTCAGCAGCAAGGCATTTCAAAGTGCTTTACATAATTAAAATACAAAACAGCATGTGACAATGAATAAGCAGTTAGAAAGCCAAAGAGAATTTTTTTTGAATAAGAAGAAAAAAAAGGTTAAAAAGATAAAAACATTAAAACCCATTCCCCTTGTAGAACTTCCTAAACCCCCTTAGGAAGTTTCTTATGAACATTAGTCTTTACTGTGGAGTGAATCTGTCCAGATGTGTGAGCAGGAAACCAGTATTAGCTTTGAGAAGAAAAGGTTTCATGATGTACAAAGATCAATCGACAGTAGCTACACTGCAAAAGAAAACGTCTCTGATTTATGATAAAATACAGGCATCTGTGGTTTTACTGTAGGAATAAATAATAGAAATGGAATAATAATACAAATTTTACTGTATAAATGCGGTAAAATTCTGGCAACCACAGCTATCAGTATTTAATTAGAGACCTTTTTTTGTTGTTTACAGTGTAGTAATTTAGCCAGCTTGACATATCTGTAGATTTCTTTGGTTTTGTTGATGAATGAACAAAATTCATGTTTTCTTTTTTCCCTCTCAGCACATTCTGCTCTCTGAAGGTGAATGAAACTGGGAAATTGGTGTAATTTCCTGGTTTCCTATCAGTGAGCTGATTGGTTCAAATATTCCATGATGTTTTCTGACTTTTACTGCAGTCTGCCTACCTTCTTACATAGCTTTTCTAATCTCTCACTGATACACGTTGTTGCATGCATCTTATTGAGAGTTATTTGCTTTAGCTATAGATACAGCGCTAAAGCAACATGTTTAGTCTGATTGCACATGAAACATGTCCATTTATTATTATTTTTTAAATTTGTGTTTCACATGGAAACACCTTCCCCCTTCAACAACCGGTAGTGACTCACCGGGACAACAATCCAGTCTTGCCAGGAACCGCGCACCGCTTTTGAGCGCATCGCCTCTTCAGTGACAGAAGGCAGAACCGTCGGTTGCTGTTCACATCATGTAAGTACTCTCTTACTCTCCAGTTACCGGACAGTTTCTCAACATGTTTTTAGATAAACCTGTGGGATTGAAGGAGTTAGCTCTTTCTGCACCAGCGTTAATGAAGCCAGGAATGTTGTGTGTTTTCTTTGATTGAAAAATGCATAACTTTAGCTCAACGTGGAAGCAAAGCTTTCATTTAAGCTTGAATATATGAAGGAAAAAGATGTTTGCTTTTTGTTAAGCTGGAACATTTCAGTATTAAATTATGATTCTTTGTCTAAGATGTCATGTTGGTGCTGCACACTAAACTCTGAAGCCTATAATTATCCCTGGTTCTTGTTGAACTGGTTTCGCTGTAACACCAGAGGCCAACGCCTTGTTTTCTTTTATTTACAAGTTTGTTGTCAACGGATCATCTGTAGCAGAGACAGACATGTTCAGCGGCACCTCTGGTAAATAAAACTCTTATTTCTGTACTTTTTTAGGATATATACATATATTTGTTTTTTTAAATTTGAAATTGACTTTTTACTGATACATTCTCAGATGAGCACCCTTCAGGCTATGACCTGGGCCCCCAACCGGGAGACAAGCCCTCTCACAGAGGCGATGGGGGTCATGGTTCAGACCATGGACAAGATGGCCGCCATGGAGGAGACAACAGAGATCATGGGGACAAGGGAAAGGGCATACCTGACTTAGATCTGGATCTTGCTCTTGACGATAACCGGGACCGACATGATGACCGCGACCGGGACCGAGATCGTGACCGTGACCAAGACAGACATGATGACCGCGACCGCAACCGACACGATGATCGTGATCGGGATCATGACCGGGACCGCGACCAAGACAGACATGATGACCGGGACCGTGACCGTGGTCGTGACCGTGATCATGACAAGGACAGACACAGTCCTGAGAGACGCAGCGGTAGCGGCAAGCGAAGCGGCAGCCGCGAACGAAAGCGCAGCGGCAGCCGCGAACGGAAGCGCAGCGGCAGCCGCGAACGGAAGCGAAGCGGCAGCGGCGACCGCAAGCATGGCCACGGCCATGGACACGGCCACGGTCATGGCCACGGGCATGGTCGTGGACGTGGACGTGGTGGACGCTGGTAGAGGAGTCAAAACAGGTGATTTATTTATTTCAGTCAGCTTTGCTCTCTACCCAACTTTGAGCTCTATTTTAGCCACTTTCTGTTTTCTCTGACCTTCCTTCCTCAGACAAGACGTCTTACTTTTTATTAATTTAATACATTGATATCAACACTTATTTGTTTTTTTTTGTTTGTTTGTTGTTGTTGTTTTCACATACAAAAGTCCCAAGCCGGAACCTTTGTATTCATGTTTCTGGTACGCTCCTAAATCTAACGCACAAGCAGCAACCGCTATCAATCATAGACATAATATAATGATAGACGCCTCATGGACCGCTCTTGCCTATTGTCACTGACGAGATTTAGGGCGGCCATAACCTGAATAGAAGAGGGAAAACATTTATTTAATAATTTTTTATTCAATAATTTGGAAGCAAAAATGGTTTTGAATTGAAAACGTTTATTTTGTGAACATATGGTTTCCAATACTTATTCTGCAGTTAACTTAATTAAATCTGAATTGAATCACTCCTCTTGTAAAGTGTTTGAACTTTATGAGCCAATCGGGATGTGACATTCAGACATGATTACACGTCATGATGGGAACAGATAAATCAAGAAAAACTAGTTCTGTGGACCGTCTGTTCAGCCTGACATGGAAACAACAAACATATGTGAAATGGAAAAACTAATTTTTCTTTATTTGTCTTACAGGCTGATCTCGCTCCGATCAAAGAAGAAAAGAAATTAGGAAATATTAAAACTTTCCAGTATGTTTTATATTACATTAAACCCATTGTAACTGTGACTATTCAGTTATTTTGTATTCCAGCAGCTTTTATGAAATATAAAGAAAATGCATCCTGCTTTCTGCTTTTATGAAATAAACTGAAACATTTTTGTTTCAATCCACATATGAAGTTTTGTTGTTGTTGTAAACATGATGCCTTTAATTAAACTTAAATTAATAGCAGGTGTTAAATAAAACAAAGCCTAGTTGGAGGCGTTGGTTCATTTTACTGAACATTTCAGCCCAGGTGATGTGTGGGTGTGACGCAGCTCCTCCCCTTACAACCAGCCTTTCCAATTATTGAACAGAACTCCTGTCATGTTTGAATGAAACGTTTGTAGCCAGAATAAATTTAACATTTGGGGCTTGTTTACACTGTGCTTTCATGTCTGAACAGACTTCTATGTGGCAAATTTATTTTACTCTAAAAGCAAAACACAACTGTTTTGATCAACTCTGATTTATGCATTTCTACTACACTTCCCAGGATGCAATGGGTAATTCCTCTGAGTAGACCACACACAAAAAAAGGCTCAAGATACCAACCCTTCAAAACAAAGACGACATTTTGGAAGTTTAAAACAATAAAATTAAAATAAAAGATGTGTAAAGGGAGTCCTGTTGCGCGTTTTGAAGAAACGTTAACCTGCAGTGACCAGTTCAACCAGCAGGTGGCACAGGAGAGCTGAAATGTGACTGAAAAGATTTCTGCTCCTGAATTATTCCAATAAATTTAATTATTTCATGAGAAAAGAAGACTTTTATATCCCGCCTCATCAATACACTCAACATCTGTGCAGAATCTGATATAAAATAGTTCTGATGCTACAAAAACCCTCATTTAGTGGTGTAAAAAGCAAAGTTTTCCACTAAAAATGTAAGAACAAGTTTGAATTTAAGACAATAAAATGCTGGCAGATTGATTGAAATTACATGAAATAAGGGGAAAAAGTGAATATCTTGGTTCACTTTTTGGATTGACATAAAAATGTAGGCAAGTGGGTTCAGCTGCTCCGTTTATGTTTACGATTTAATCTCTGAATGTGGTCAGATTTTAGTTCAAGTTGTTAAATGTTAAATAATCAGAAGGAAACTTATGCATAAAAGAAAAATATCAATTTTCTTTGCCAGGAAACTTTTATGTTATGAAGATGCTCGATGTGTTTCAAGTATTTATTAAGATAATTTGTTTTATAGTCAAGTTGGTAGTTACATTTATGTAATATATATATATTTAGGAGTATTTTTACTATGCTGTACTTTTGAAATCCCTCAATCAGGAAATTTAACTTCCAAGAACTGAAGTCTTCTGACATCTTTGGAGAAAGATCCAGGATTTCCCTGCTGCCAGGTGGAAAACGTTTCCTCAGGATCTCTGGAGTTCCACTTCTGCAAATGAATCTGCTCTCTCTCCTTCTGCCTCTTTAAAAATCACTTCCACAAAAAAAAAGTCCTTTGGCAGCCAATCATAAAGTCGGGAGTCCAGCCTCAATCCAGAGTCACTCTCTCCTTCCTCTCCGCAGGATGCTCCTCTTCCTCTCCCTCGCCGCCGTCCTGTCTGCGGGCCGCGCCATGGAGATGAACCAGACCTCCAAGCTGCTGGCGGACAGCTTGGAGCAGTGCTCAGCCTGCGACTTCCGGGAGCACAGCAAGCAGCTGCGGCTCCACAGCATCCGCTCGCAGATCCTCAGCATCCTGCGGCTGGAGCAGGCGCCCAACATCAGCCGGGACATGATCCGCCAGCTCATCCCCAAGGCGCCGCCTCTGACGCAGCTGCTGGACCAGTACGACCCGCGGGTGGAGGACGAGGAGCACGCCACGACCGAGACCATCATCACCATGGCAACGAAGCGTAAGTGGGGGAAAGCGAAGTCTGTGTGTTAGTGAGCCTGGATTTAGAGCAGAAATGCAATGAAAACTTTAAGAACAGAAAGTGGTGGGTCGAGTAGATTATACCTGAGTAAGAGAGGCAGCACTTCAACAGAGTAGTAGTAAAAAGTTTTTTGTAAAAATGTGAGTCAAATACTGACAAACTGATCAAATTATCAATCATTTAATATTTAAAAAATACATCAGACGGACCAAAAACAAATAAGTAACAAAAAAAATTTCCAATTCAGTTTTAATAAAATAAAATAAAATAAAAAAATAAAAATTTATGAAACTTTAACAAAAACTGCAGGTCTGTGTCTGGTGAATTTTTGGTTAAAACATTTTTGGTTTTTATTCAAAAAGTAGAAAACCAGCAGAAATATTACTCAAATAAGAACAGAAATACTTCACAATACAAATACTCAAGGAAACGTAAAAAGTACAGCGCAGTAAAAATACTATAAAAGTACATTTAAAACAAAAAGTTATTGAAGTAAATGTAACTAGATAAAATGAGCTACATTTCATCTATACTGAGGTTTTATTTTTTATGCTGAAAGAAATTGATTTGGAAAATTATTTCTTTTGCCTGACTGTATATTGTAATGTTTTATATATATTATTTTATACCTCCCTGATTGCCCATCTATATGAATTATTTTCATTTAGTTTTAAAACAATATTTCCACTTAGATGTATATTTTGGTCCATCTGATGATGTAATTTTTTTTATATTTTTAGTCACATTTTTTATTTCTTTTTACCAAATACAGGCTCCATTTCCCTCTGACTTCACTACAGTTCTCGTTTCCTCTCCCCACCTCTGTCTCTTCCAGCCAATCCCGTCCCTGCAGAGCAGCTTTCCTCCTGCTGCCTGTTCAGCCTCAGTCCAAAGATCCAGCCTAAGAACATCCTGAGCGCCCAGCTGTGGGTTCACCTGCGACCGTCCCTCGCCGTCACCACCGTCTTCCTGCAGGTGTCGCGCCTCCGGCCGGCCAGGGAGGGGAACGGCACGCGGGTCCGGGTCCGGGTCCGCTCCCTGAAGGTCGACACGGAGGCCGGAGCCAGCTCCTGGCAGAGCATCGACATCAAGTCCCTGCTGCAGGCCTGGCTGCGGCAGCCGGAGAGCAGCTACGGCCTGGAGATCAACGCCTTCAGCAGCAGGGGAGAAGACCTGGCCGTCACATCAGCAGAGCCTGGAGAGGAGGGACTGGTGAGAAGACCCGGTTCATTTACGTCTCAGTAGTGATCATTAATCAATCCTTAGTTGTTTAACTGGACGATACAGAGTCAAATAAAATCCTTTTGTTGAGAAACAACTCCCTAAGAGCAGTAATTAATTGAAATAAGACAAAACTAACTTACAAGTCACTTCTCAGGAAGATACAGGAGCTTGTTTTAAGATAATATTCATCCTTAATATTGATGGTGAAACATTACTGGTTCCACTTGCAGATTATTTCACTTACAGTAAGATATGTTTCCCTACCTACAAGTGAAATAATCTGCCAGTGGAGCTATTCATTTTTCATCAATATTAAGGAATTATTGTCTTAAAACGATCCCCAATAACTTGCTGAAAAGTTACTTGTAAGTTATTTTTGTCTTATTTCAAGCCTAATAAAATATTTGCACTAGAAACTAAACATTTGGTAAGGTTTTGTGTCTTTGCAGTGCAGCTGGTTCAAATTTTGTTAAAAAAAAGTTTCATATTTTTTGATAAACAAAAATAATTTAATCCAAAAAAAATAGTTAATAGATGTTATTTTTAATTGTGTTTCAGCAGTTGTTAAATTGTGTTTTTTCTTCATTGGTGAAATATTGACAAAGTTTTGTTCACATTTGTAATGAAAACTCAGCTTTTTGAATTTTTTTGAGATGCACAAGTAATTTTTTTTTTCACTTTTGGATCTCAGAAACATTCAGGTTTTTTTTTTTTTTTTTGAATATTTATATCTGGATTTCATCTCAGCATTTCTGAATTATTTTGGTGAATGTTCAACTTTTGGATCTCAGAATTTTCCAAGTTCTTTCTGGCATATTTGAGAGATTAATGTCAAAATTTCTAAGGTTCTTTCGTGTAAATTTTAAAGTTTTAGAACTCAGAAATGTCCATGTCTTTACCAGAAAACATCAGACATTAATCTGGAAATTTCTGAGTTTTTCTTTTGTAAATTTTAAACTTTTGGAACTCAGAAATTTCAGAGTTCTTACATTAGTGAAATATTGACACAGTTTTTTGTAATGGAAACTCAGCGTCTGTCCTTCCAAAGTCTGACATCCAGCTTTCTGATTTGACTTTTCCAATTCAGAGATTAATCTTGCAATTTCCTGCATGGCGTCTAAAATGTTTGTTTTCCTTCCAGCAACCGTTCATCGAAGTGAAGATCCTGGACAGCTCTAAGCGCTCCCGGCGAGACTCCGGACTGGACTGCGACGAGGAATCCTCAGAGACCCGCTGCTGCCGCTACCCGCTCACCGTCGACTTCGAGGAGTTCGGCTGGGACTGGATCATCGCCCCCAAACGTTACCGCGCCAACTACTGCTCAGGGGAGTGCGAGTTCCTCCACCTGCAGCAGTATCCGCACGCACACCTGGTGAACAAGGCCAACCCGCGCGGCTCCACCGGGCCCTGCTGCACGCCCACCAAGATGTCGCCCATAAACATGCTTTACTTCAACCGCAAGGAGCAGATCATCTACGGGAAGATCCCGTCCATGGTGGTGGACAACTGTGGCTGCTCGTGAAGACGAAGGTTCGTTTACCGAGAAAAATAAATCAGCGCCTGGAGAACCTGTTCATGAACGAAGCATCTGAAGGAATGGCCGTCATCCTGAAGACTGCCAAACAAAACGCAGTAATTTAAAAGGAGAATTTAAAAGGAGAATTTAAAGGAGTTCAAATATTTACAATGACTAGTTGGGGCCATTTTAGAAAAGAAGTCAATTTCTGCCAGAAAACTTAGAAATGTTTGGATTAATCTCTTGTTAACCTCTGAGCTCTAAATCTACAATATTTGCAGGAGAAAACTGAGAAATTTTGAGGTCAATCTCAGGAAAAAGATAAAAAATAAAGACATTGCTGAGATCCAGAAGTTTTTATCTAGAAACAATTTGGAAATGTGTGAGCTCCAAAAGTAAAATAAAAATTATGAGAAAGTAAATCATAATGAGTTTCACATTAATTTGATTTGAAATTAATCTCAGAAATTTACCGTTTTCAAATTTTGGAAATTTTCGGAGTTGCAAAAGTAAAAGAAATTAAACTTCTGGATCTGAGAAATGTCCATGTTTTTTATGGAACATTTATGAAGTTAATCCCAATTTTTTTTTCTTGCAAGTCTTTTTTCTTTTGGACCTCAGAGTTTTTTCAAGTTGCTTTCTTGAGTATTTGTGAGATTAATCTCAAATTTTATTTATTTTTTTTTTATTTTTTTTTTCAAAATTTTCAAATTTTGGATATCAGTAATTTTCAGGTCTTTTCTTTACCATTTATTTCTGAGATTAACCTACACATTTCTGAGTTTGTTCTCATAAATTTTAAACTTCTGGAGCTCAGAAATTTCCATGCTTTTTTCAGAAAATTTCAGAGATTAACTTGATATTTTTCTTGCAAATTTTTGACTTTTTGAGTTCAGATATTTGTTGGCAGAATTTATTTTTTGTATCTACTGTGGCCCTGATATGCCGTTATAAATATGACTATAAATAGAGTGGATTAAATATTTTGACTGTTATGAGACCAAACTATAAGATTGAGGATATTTTAGGAGCCAAAATATGACTAGGTTTTCCCATTATTGTTTCCACAGATAAACATTAATAATTCAGCCTGTTGTGGAGGAAAATGGTTTATTTTTATTCAAATAGATGATTTTTATTTTAACGTTTTTGCTGCTCAATACATATAAATATGAGAAACTGAGTTTGTCTCATGCGTTGCACCTTAATGTGAGTTGATCACATCTGAGTTTGCACTTGTAATAAACTGAACAGTTAACCTGCAGGATTTTTTATTTTAAATTCCTGTTAAATTTATATATTTGTTTCTCAGTATTTTCACCACAAATCCTGGAGTTTTGGTTTTGTGTTTGTGAGACTGAAGAAGTTTGGACCTTGAATAGATTTGGTGTCTGAAACGAGGCGTCCTGCTGCTGCCTGTCCTGATTTGAGCCTTGACCAGAGCACAGCCCGCAGGATGTCCTCCTTATTTTGAAAACATGAACCGAATGACTCGCCACCTTTTGTCTGTTTGCTCATTTCTCGCTGCGCCTTGTTCAGAAGATCATCAGAGGTGAAGGAAATATGTAATCTTGTTATATTTACACACAAACCTGCAAATTGTTAAAATATTTGGCCTAAAAATGAACATTCTGATTTATTGTAACGCTGATAATCATTTTTGTTCTGCAGCGATCTGTGCTGTCTAGATGCAGCACAGCAGCATCTAGTGGTGGATCTGGAGAACTGCAGCCCAGCTTGAGGCTTTTGTCTGGAAGAAATGTGGATTGTTGATGTTTTGAGCCGACATGAAACATTTAATCCATAATTTTCCGGGGAGAGCTAAACATGGATCAGTGTCGGAGCAGAAACTGGGATCCCAGTTGGAGGCGCCATCCCAGTTTAACGCCCAGAGCAGATGTCCTGACTGTTGTTGTCTTCATGGGGGTTTGTGACCCGAAAAGACTTTGTTCTGCTGAAACTCAGATTCACATCACTGATAACTTTAAACAGGTTTGATTCTAAAAATCACATTCTGTCCTTTTATTAAAGTTAAAAACTCCTTTTTTTGTTTTCGATTTAAGATGTGAATAGAATACGTTACAAGTTGTACATTTCCGTCAAATCTTTCTTTTCTATCAAACTTTGCATTTAAAACCAGTTTCTGGAGATAAATTGATAATAAAATAACCTTTCAGCCATGTTGATTCCCATCCTGTCTTCTTGTCACTAAAATGTTTCCTTTTTGTGTCACAACTTACTCAATTTAAGAAGTAAGTTCAGCCAAAGGAGTCTGAATGCATTTCCTGTTTAAAACATCAGCTGAGTTGATATTTGCCAAGGCCAGTTTATTTTATTTGCACAATTTTTTTATGTTTCATTTGATTTTATTGGAAGCAAAATCACTTTTTGAAAAATCTGAGTAAAGACCTTTGATTATTTTGTAAAGTCTGATTGCTTTTCTATCAATAGTCATGTTTTTGTGTGTTTTCTTATTGATTTTTGCATATTTTCTGCATGTTTTCCAAATAAAAATATGAAAACTTTGGTGTGAATTTGCTTATAAAGTCGATAGTCAGAATCGACTGTTTTTGCAGCACCACCTGCAAATATTTTGAGGTATGTTTCCATCAGTGTTGCATAATTAAACAGTGATATTTTCATCCACAATTAAACACTGATATTTTCACCCATTCTTTGCAAAAATACTCCAATTTCAGTCGATGTTCAGGTTTTGCCACTGACTTAGGTCGGGACTTTGATTAGGCCAGTCTAACACATGTTTTAGCTTAAACCATCTGCTGTATTTCTGGCTGAATGTTTAGAAAAAGTGAACTGAATTAGTTCATGTCATTTGAAAGTAAAACATTTATAACAATGTAACTGTTTTCCATATAGATTTATGGTTTAAATAACCATCCCTCTACCGCTAAACAGAAAATAGTAATTCACCTGTTTTCACGGCGAGATAATTGTTTTTTACCTGACGCTCGAAAATTTATTTCAAACGCAATCTGATTAATCTAAATCGGCTAAGCTAGTTACCATAAATATAAAAGAATTTATTTTAACGAAAGTCACTATATTTTTTTAATATAAAATTCTAGCAAATTTGGTTTGTGTTTAGTTTTGGACAAACTACCATTTATTCTGTATATTGTGTATTTTCTCCTTAAGTTTCAGTTTCGGACTTGACGCAGTTTTACCTTCTTTCTCTGAAAACACGTGATTTCCCCAAGCTGTTCTCTTAACTGTCTTCCCTCCCCCTAAAATATGAATTGTTTTTTACCTGACGCTCGAAAATTTATTTCAAATGCAATCTGATTAATCTAAAATACAAAAAAGTACCGGGTTTATTCTAACCGTGAGGTAAAATCTGTGAAATGAAGCTCCTGCGTAAAAAACTGGTGTTAAGATATTGTTATTGTGCATGTATGTGATGATTGTCGGAACAGCCGCTTTTTCTTCTTCCGATTGGCTAAGACCAGGAAGTAGGCGGGAGCCTGTAGTCGATTCTCCGGTGTGATTGGATGAGAACTGTTAGCTAGGTTTCATCAATGGAAAGGAGACGTGAAGCTGACAGGAGGACTCAGCTAGCGTTCTTGTAACAGAACAAGCTTTCAGGAAATAAAACCTGTTTTAACGGCGATATAATAACCTTCCACAGACTAAAAAGTAAGTTTATTCACCTGTCTGACTAACAGTGGAAGCGTTTTATGATGCACGTGTATTTTTATTAGCAAAACAAAACACTCGGGTAAGCTAGTTGCTGAAGTTTGTAGTTCCAGACAAGTTTGAGAAAATAAAAAATGTCTAGTTTTATGCCTTATATGGATACATTTTGGCAGTAGAAGTGCTTTGCTGTGTTGTCGGTGTTAATTAATGTTTCATATGCGAATATGTTTCATCACCGCCCACCTGAACAGCTGCTGCTAGCTAACAGGTAGGACAGTAAATACATGCATCTGGTTAGCTTTAAAGGGATGTTCCGCTGTTTTTAAACTACATGAACTGAAAAATTAAACCAAAATACTTAAAGGATTTTTGCACACTGCTTTTATTTATTGTTTAAAGTACAACTGAGGATTTGAGAAAGCGTGATTTAGTTTGTAAGCAGACAAAAGGGTGTTTTATTTTATTTTTCGGTGTTTTTTGGCCTCTCGGCCACCGATCGCAGTGTAACAGAGCATCTTCGTCAGCTGCTTATAGCAGGTTCCTTTTAGCTTTCAGTTTCTGATGAAATACTATTAAGGAGGAGCTTTCTAGTTTCCTAATAATTTCTCCCTCTGGGGCCAAAAATAACCAGGTCTGGTGAGATTTTAACAATGTCAGAAGCTTTGAGAGAATAGAACTGCTGATAAAAAATAATTATTGGCTCGTTATTATCCTAAATACTAAAACAGATATTAAAACATACATCATAAATATCTAATTGTTTATTTTGTCTACAGATTAAGCTCCTGAAATTGATTAATTGATGACATGTTGACATTTTAGAGCAGAAATAGGTTCCAGTTTCCAGTGTTGTGGTCAAGACCAGAGTGTATCGAGACCGAGATAAGACCAAGTCTTTTAGGGTCCGAGACCAAGTCAAGATCAAGACCAGCGCCCCACGCTACATGAAACGATAAAATGTGAAATATGATCAAAATTACTACTCAAATTGATCTGAAAGATCCATATTCCCATAAAAACACCTAGATATTAAATACTTAATAAATTTAACCAATATTAAAGCAGTACAAACTCTTGGTTCTGCTATGCTTCCATCTCTGTGCTACGATACATGGTGGTCTCCTGCCATCCCTAAACAGATAACACCCTGGGTGTTTGTCCATGTTGCTCTGTTCTGTCAGGTCAGCATACGCTGTCAGATCGTCATACGCTTAGCACAAACTCACGGCTATATCTGTCAGACACGTCTTTACTATGTAATTTTATTTAATTAGCAACGTAGAATCATGACGTAGATCATCATACACTTTATTAAC